AAGAAATTGTCAGCTTCATGCACCTTAAGTTCAAGTTCCCCTGCAAAGCAGCCGCAAGTCAGATCTCCCGTCTCTGTCCAGTCTTCTTAGCCAAGAGCAATAAAAAGCATTGTACGAAAAGGCAAATTTACACCAGGTAACGGACAGTGCTGGGAAAATCTTCAAAGCCTCAGTTTATTGAACAGTCTAACAAGCATGCAGAGAAGCTGACATGTGTATTTCTCTACCTCCAGATATTTAAAGCTACAAATCACCTCTCAGGCTCAGGAGTTCCACAATGCTGTGGCCTTAGAGAAGTGTGGCTTTAAGCTGCTGGTGAGATTATGCTGCGGAGCCCAGTGGCAGGCAGATTTGGGCCATAAAATTTCGCTGTGGGAGGGCAGTGCTAATCTCACAAACTGATTGTGGTGGAGGCTTAGGGGGGGCAGCTTTGATGTTGGGATGCTGGGGATGAAGCTCCAGGCTGAAGCAGCAGGGGCCATGGCTCAAGTCCCATCAATCTGTTTGTGAGCTTGAATAAGTCATTTAGCCTCTTTCGGTCAGAATTTTTATAGCAAAACCTCCTAGTCCTATGCTGATGTCTCTGGTTGAGACGTTTTATACCGATTAGTTGGGAAGTGGGGAGGGGCTGAAACAGAGTAGGTAAAATAAATGTGTTTTATGTCACTTCTGCCCATTGATTTTATTTTGACTTCTCTGTGTTATAGAGTCCATCTAATTTAATAGAGAGCTAGTAAGGTTTTTTTGTGTTTAGTGTTCCAAATCGTTGCTTTCTTCTGATGCTTTTTATTTCTCATTTTAAAACAAATTAATCAAGCAGTATGTGCTTGAATGTACCCATGACATGCCCAGTGAAAACTGAGCATAGCAAAAGAGGTGGGAAGATGAACCTGTAAATGGCAGGGCTTAGGGTTGTAGATATAAAAAAAAAAAGTTTAACTTTAATCAAGGTCATGGTTGCCTTATTTAATCTTTATGTGTTTAAATGTTTACAGGATGTTCATGTGAATTTTATGAATCCTTCTGTCTTTGTGACTCAGCCATCTGCCAAAGAAAAAATTAATTTTCCCAGTGAGACAGAGACACACAGAGAAAGGCTTTTTGTCCATGTTTAGCTGGCTGAACTGCTGTAGGAGCAACAGGACTTGTACCCAAAATTCTGAAGTTTTTATCCTTAAAAGGAACTCTCCAGTTAATTCACTGTGGCCGGCCAGCGTATATTACTCTTTCTTACTTACTGTCGGGCCTACTTCTTGGCGGTTTTGTCACTTTGATATCCAAACAGAAATGCAGAAAATGAGTACTTTGCTGCACGTGACCATCCTGCCAAGATAGTTAATCTCTTTTAAACTCTGAAATTGTTTCAGGGCAGAGCTACCTGAGGAGGAAAGAGAAGAAGGGAAGCCATATCTGGGAGGAAGGGGAACAGTAGTGACGTGTTCTCTGGAGTCCTCTGTTTATGCACAGCCCAGGTATGGGTCCACAGTCTAGGTTAGGGAAGGAGAAAGGGCCCCGAATTGCTGCCCACTTCCTGCCACAGGGTCCCCTTTTCCAGGATCTATCTTGCAGATAGATCCAAGGCAAGTTGTAGATGAGAAGTGGCCAGGAGGTGTATTTCACCCCATGACCTTCTCACCCCTTCTTTTCCCCTCACCTTTGTCTCACATTGTAGCTTTGGAGCCTTCTGGGGAAAGATCTCCTGAGCCAGTTGTTAGAGAGCAGAGCCTGAGTGAGCATCTCCGAAGTGCTGGGGTGGGGAATGATCCCGCTAGGGATCCAGCTCCCCCTGCTGTGAGCACCTAGTGTCTACTGAAATGTGCACAGCAAAGGAGCAGCCACCCACCCTCCTAGGTGGACTTCAGCTCACCTCCCCCAGGTCAGCCATGGAGAATTCTTGGGGATGCTCACTCACCATGATGAGGACCAGATGGAACACTGGGGCCACCTTGAGCTGTCTCTGAACAGGACTGTTTTTCCTTTTCCAGGCCCTATCAGGACTACTAGTGGATACACCTGGCCTCTTTTTGGGGTGATTTTTCACTGAGAGTTTCCATGGGACACAGGAGCCTTTAGGTTAGTGGGGCCTTTCAGTATTTTTGACAGTATGGTTTTATCGGCAGCATAGAAAAAAAAAGCCTGGCTAAAAAAATTGCTTAAGATTGAGGAGACAAGGTAAGAGAAAAGTTACTAGAGATACCGCTTGCTGTGATGAGGTTCAGTAACTGGGCACCTAATAAATTCTGTAATGGAGATAATCTCACTTCATTCATTAAGTTTAGACGTGAAGGAGAATTCCTTGGTTTAGTGACCAAAAAACTAAGTTATATTACTACCAGGGCCACCATCGACTTAAGAAAAATCCTCTCGCTAAAATAAGTCTGTGCTTTTCATGTAAGTGAATATAATGCCGTTGTTGACTGTGGTGGTTTCCTTAAATTTTTTTTTTATTTAGAGTTTAAAATCCAATAATAATGAATATATGGAGGCCATCGTACATTTCCTTCTAGTGTCTCGAGTTTAGTTGTAAGGGGGACATGACGTAAAGCACATTACCGATAGGTAGAAGAGTAAATAAATGGCCAATTTCAGCCTCTGTGCGTTGGTTGCATTTTTGTAATGTCTTAAATCCTAGATAAGGGAAAGTTGAACTATCGCGTATTCTTTAATTTTCTTTCTCTCCACCTTTTTTGTACCCTTTAGAGCTTTTTCTTGG